GCAGAGGCAGAGGCAGAGGCAGAGGCAGAGGCAGAGGCAGAGGCAGAAGGATTCCAAGTTCTAGGTCAGCCTGAACAATGTACCAGACTCTTTCTCAAAATAAAATTGAAAAGGCTGGGGCTACAGGCCAACGGTAGCAGACACAGGGTTCAGTCATTTGGCTTCAAACTGGCCTTGTAATGAGGCATATGATATTTTTTGTTAGTTTACAGAATCGTATTCTCTCTTTTTAGATTTTAAAATTATTTATTTATTGTATGTTTATGTGTGTGGGGGGAGTGGTGGTGTAGAGGTCAGAGGACAACTTTCGAAAGTTGGTTTCCTCTTTCTGCTATGTGGGTTCCAGAAATTGAACTCAAATCATCAGGGTTGGTGGTGCCACCTCTTATCCTGCTAAGCCCACATCACTGGCAAACCCTGTCCTGCCTCTTTTAGAATTGGTCTTGTTATAAACCCATGCTGGTCTGAAACCTGTGATTGATCCTTTGTCTCCATGTAAAGAATAGTGGGCTTACAGGTGTGCACACACCTAGTGTATTTTTTTCATGATGTTTCCAAACAGAGTCCTGCCATATTACCTGGTCAGTCTGCCGCCTGCTTTCGCATGCCTATTAGCTGAGATAGTAAACCCACACCACGACACCTGTCTAACAAGGAGACACTGTGAATGGAGTAGAAGTTCAGAGTTTCATAAAGGCTGCCCTCAGGATTACACCTGAGGAAGATGCAGCTCTGGGAAGAGCAGCAGTAACGTAGGAGGAAGAGTCCAGCCTTGCAGTGAACTGAGAACAGCCAGAGACATGTGAAAGGGATGGAGTTTCAGACCTGCAGAGGCAGGAGCTGATCTCTGGGCATTATGGATTTGTTAATCTAACAAGATATGTGTGTGTGTGGGGGGGGGGGGTTCTTTTTAAGACCGGAGGAAAAAAGAGTCTGTCTTTCCAGGTTTTGATGCCATACTTAACAGTTTCTATAGTCAGACATCTCTCTTCTTGGTACTTTTAAATTAATTTTCAAAGCAAATGATAAAAATATATATCAAAATAACTAATAACTCAAACTCTGCTTTCCTTGATGCTCCAGCAGGAAAAATATTCTCCAGTTCATATTAGGTCCTTGGCAGTGCTGCTGACAATGGCCCGAGGTAAGTCCCAACCCAGGCCAGAATTTTTACCATGTAAATAGGAACCTAAACTCAGCATTCTTCAGAAACCCCAGTGAGGTAAGTTTTGGTTTGCCAGAAAAGTGTTACTTCCCCTCTCTGGCTATAATGGTTGACTCCCTTGGGCAAAGTCCGTGTAGTTCCTGATTAACCAGAACAGCCCACTCAAATCCTCCCATCTGCTGTCATCTAGAACCTGCTTGCTTTCCCAACAAACTGTTCTCTGATCTCCGAGGCAGCCCAACAGTTTGTCTCCCAATAAACTGCTTTTCTACTAAAGGAGTGGTTTAGCTTGGTGGTTTCACTACACCTTGCTTACAGTAGTTTGGATCTTCTGGGGACCCGTCCATTTTACTTCTGTGTGCTGGGTATGGCTGTTCATAGCATTCAAGTCCTTTATGTTGCTGTCAGTTGATAGGGACATGCTCTCTTTCATTTGGTTCCCAGGAAGGGTTTTATTCATCCATCCTTTGATGTCATACCATCTGCCTCCAGTGAGACACCTTGAGGAACACCTCCATGGAGTTCATTGTCAGCTGTAGTACTGTGATGGCATCCCTCACCACTGTCCATCACATCCCACAGGTTTTTCTCTGTAGATCCTGAAACTTTCTGTGATGCCACAGTGTCCTGGTACACTGCATCCCAGAACAGCTAGGACCCAGTGTATATATATATATCGAGTTGTTCTCTTGCTAATTTTGACCTAGCTCCTCACAAAGCTATGTAAACGTCAGCTTATTAGTTTCATAAATGAAATGACTTAATGCATCAGATATGTATTCTTCCATGGTTAGTGACTGGAGATCAAAATCAAGGTGTCAGCTGTCTGAGCTACTGGGTTTTTAGGAAAATATGTAGGAGATCTCCCTGAGGACATAAATTACAGAGTTGTATGTTTGTACCAATGTTTTGGTAGCAGAAAAAAAAATATGGCTGTCTTCCTTCCTATGGGAATTCTCAGAAATGCATTAGAAATCAATT